CCCCAAAACCCCAAAACCCCATAATTAAATAATGAATTTAGATTTTATTATTTGTAAAATAAATACAATAAAAAGGGAATATTAAATTAGCCAGAAATGGAGAGTAAGCGAGATTTTAGATATTCTAAGATTGAAAAATTACCACCAATAATGATGCGAAGTAAATCCAATCATACCTCCACCACAAATTTAATGGGAAACAACAGATACTCAGTAGTCAATTGTATATAATAATGCTAATAAGTAATATAGCTGATTTGAACTAGCTGATAAAGGAGAGCACAGTTAACAGAAGTTCTGTCAAAGAACTCACAAAGTTGGTAACTGAAGTCCAAATTACTTATCATTTTATTAGACTTTGAAGCAAGATATAAAGCAAAGTATGGATGAGATGCCTTAGGTCAGAACATCAAAAAACAAACCACCTCTCATGCCCTTGAGGAAAAGTTTGAAGCTTGTAGCAGTCGCTGGAGGCTCTAATCAGAAGTCTTCTACTAATGATAATGATAGAAGAATTTCACCAATTGTCAATAAAAATTACAAAAAAGACATGGTCACATTCGAATCAAGTCCCTATTACGTATAGAAAAAGTTTGATTCGAACATAGCTTTTGACGAGGATGACTAGCTTATGATAAACACGATTCATTGCAGAGGAGATTATTCATTGATTAAAGAAGTTATCAGGAAAAATGAATGGTTTGAGTGTAAATAGCCAGGTAAGGGACACATCATGTGGTATGGAAATAGACTCTCTGATACTGACAAAGCTCTCGTAAGGAACCGCAATGTCTGGTACAATAGATATGTTGGAGGAAGTTTCCTTTCTTATAAGAGAACTTTTTCTTAATTGCTTGACCTTGCAAGAAGACTTTTTCCTAAGGATTATTCTGATTTCATTCCGAAGACGTTTTACTTTCCAGAAGATATGAATAAGTTCAAAGAAGTGATGGCTTAAAATGATAAGGATGATGAGTAGATCACCTATATAGTGAAGCCTAGTAAGGGATTTGGAGGGTATGGCATATTTTTCATCTAAGATGAGATGGATATCCCATCAGAAAATATTAAGGATATGGTCTGCTAGCAGTACATTGAAAATCCTCTACTAATTGATGAGTAATAAATCATATTAAGTTTAAGCATTATTTTAGCAAGAAGTTTGATATGAGATTGTATGTGCTTTTAAAGGGCATTCAAGGTGATATACAGCTTTACCTTTGCGACGAGGGGATGGCTAGGTTTTGCACAGAAGACTATGAAATGCCTGAAACGGGTAAAATTGATAAGTTATTCGGACATTTAACTAATTTTACATTGAATAAGGACAGTGACAAGTATATTAATAAAGATGACTTCATAGATGATGATAGTGGGACTAAAAGGCTTCTTAGTAATGTTCTTAAGATTATGGAGAAGAAGCCAATTAGATGTGATGTTGAAGAATTAATGACTAAAATAGAGGATGTGATAGTTAAAAGTTTTGTAGTAATTATGCCACATCTTAAAAATCAATTCTAAATCGAGTTTAATTGTAACTTATCTCAAGCTAATACAAACTGCTTTCAACTCTATGGAATCGATATATTAATAGATGATGACTTAAATCCGTGGGTACTAGAAATAAATAGTAATCCTTCCTTCAACATTAACATATAAAAGTTTATCAAAGAGGAAACTGCTAATAATGAGAGCAAGTATTCATTGAAAAATGAAATTTCATCCATAGATAAATACATAAAATCTATGGTGATCTCAGATGCATTTTAAATAGTAACAAGTCAAAAATCTAATCTAAAGTAGTTAGGATCTTTCACAAAATTGTATCCAATGCGAAAGTATGCTAAGTATGGAGTGTTAGATGAGATCCGTGAGGTATTCGAGTAACTAGCAGGCTCTAGAGATTTTTCAGGCATCTCCTGCTCTTAGTTTATGAAAATGATACAGTCAAGTGCTGAGATATTTATTATTAAAGATCAGCTATAGAAATACGACTATGAACTTATATTTTAGCAAATAATTTGTGATAATAGTATTGCACATGGAGGTAATAAAAATCCTGTTAAAACCATCAATCTTTAAAAATTCCATATGCTGTTGTATCTTATTATGGACAAGCTTTAAGCTCTGAAAGATTTAGATCAAGGTAGCAAGAAAGTTAATAAATGGGGTTTAAAGGAATTTAAAGAATTCTTGAAAACAATAAAGGAAAATTTAAGCTGACTATGGTTATTTTAAAATCTTTAATGAATTTGATTAATGGATATGTGTAAAACTAGACTAATTATATAATATAAGTTAATTTAATAATCTGTTTATTTTTTAATATTAATATAGTTAATTCAAAAATTATGATTGCAAACGAACAACATTTATATCCCATTGAATATTTATTATCAGCATTAAACCTATATTTGGGTGTATTCGATGCACAATCATATAGCCGTGGCTGCTATCTAACTATAAATAGACTATGACTTTCATTTTATCGTCATAGTTACACTCAATCTCATTTTTTCCTAAAGCCTATAGATGTGGTCCTTTGTTACTTAGATTACTGTGGAGCAGCAGCTTTGCTCTTCATCTGATTTGCTTTGAACTTTTACTCGCAGCTTGGGATATGTCTTTTAGCTGCCTCATCGTTGAATTTCCTGTTACAGAACTGACACTCTGTTCTATCATCGTATTGCTATGCTTGAGGCTACTAAACATTGCAAGAATCACCACCTGCAGTATCATTGCCTTTAGTGGCTCTCATTGCTTATCTGAACATTTCACTTTAAGCTTTCCATTTTGCAGCTTTACTTTGTTTAATTGGCTAATCTTCTTAAGCTAATGGCTTTTTGCTTTATTGATTATTTTACTTCTTAGTGGGTGGTTTATATGAGCCATAATCATCCTTTGCTTCATCTTCAATTTACCTTTACTTTTTTATGTCGAAAACTTTTCTCTTCTACACAAAGACCTTTTTGCAAACTTTGGCATGCTTTACCAATGCTTATTCAACAAATTTCCTCCCGCAAGTAGGGCATTCAATCCTTTCACCCTCATCCTACGGGTATTCATCTGGCTACTCTTAAGAAAATTTATCTAATCCTTTATTAGCATTATTTGATTTGCTGTTCCCTTAACCTCCTCTATTATTATAGGTATCAGCCTCCTCATCATCTTCCTCTTCTTCTTCATCTTGATATTTATTATTATATGATTATTTTTAAGTCTATTACTTGCTATAGCTTTACTTTTCATAGGTATTTTACTAAAGAATCTAATTCTAATTTATTTTTCTGGCAGGCTGATTATTGCTCCTTTAAGTAGGGTCATATTCTGAAATTTTCTATGGGATTTTTTTCTGACTATTAACGCCCACTCCTCCAAATCTATTTTGGTCATTTGGTAGATTGATTCCATTATTACTAAGATTATCTAGGTTTTCATATGATTCACTTCTCTAAATAGAGTTTCCTTAGCTGTCATTATCACCTGGATTAAAAGCTTTTCTAAAGTTCCTATTTTAGTATCCAGTGTTGTCTGGATTATTATGGGACAGTCCACTGGTCGGCCTGCTTGTATTATTAGGCTTTGGAATATTTCCATATTGAGAATTTCCTCTTGGAGCTCTTCCTAAATTAGAGTTTGAGTTTTAATTTTGATCATATGTGCCGTCATCATCATTATTATTGTAACTTTAAGCTCTATCTCTATTCATCGGTTGCTTACTACCCATCCGCTTTTTCAATAGTTACAAATTGCTGCGTGCTGCCATCAAATCCTCTCTTGAATAAGATGGCTGTCTTTCACTTTTGAATTAAGAATTACTATGCAAACTAAGAGGAGGCTACATCCCATTATTACCAGGCTACCTATTGAATCCTGAGGATGATGTATAAGATGCTTGCGCTCCTTAGTTGAATCCCTGCATGGTATAATTCTATGGTTGATTAATACCTTACGGATTATTATAACTGTCATACGAAATAGATTAAGCTACCTGCTGCATGTTTCTTTATCTATTGCTTTGAGGGTTGTAATAGTTCTCTTATGTTCGCATTTAATTTCCTAAAGGTGGATCATCATAAAGATTAGTTTAAGGTCCCATTTATTGCCTGCCAGCATTACCTTATGCTCCCATAAATTGATTACTTGCAAAATTACCTGTAGACTAAACACCTTTTCCGCTTATATTGCTCAAGTTATTACTGGCGGGAAAACCTCTTCCATACTAGGAAGTTGAAACACCAGGGGCTTCTTGATTATACTTCTAAAATCCACTAAACCCGCCTGAAATTGAAGTGGATGCTGTTTGCAAACCTCCAGCACCATTCATATGCGAAAAGCCGCTTGTTGATGTTGCATCAGGTCTAGACTATCCCTATCCATTCTATGTTTTAAGCATGAAGTCACCAGCGTTTTTCAATAAAGAAGTACCCTGTTTCCTTTCTTCACGTAGCTTCTTAGAATTTTCAATTTGATCTTTTCTCTTTTTAGCATAATCAGTAGCACCATCAATACCCTTCTAAGTCATATTACTCATTTTATTACTTTTATATATTCTTATTTTTCTATAATTTCCTATTATACTGATCAAAACATAATTTCATTCTGTGGGGTTTTGGGGTTTT